TTTACATTAAATGATTACCAATGCGATAGTGTAATCACATTTTTTCGTTACTTAGTGTCAAAAATATCAATAGTAAAGAGGTAATAGAAGTTAAAAAGCTTTGCGACCTTAAAATTATATATTTAACCCACATATGTATGTGATGATGGCTCTGAGTGCTAACTAATATTTCAAATTTTCATTCTCCTCAATTTACTACTCTATAATTTTATTTTATGGATAATGAAATTAGACGTCTTGTTCGGTAAAACAACAAGTTTAAAGAAAACAATTAAGATAAAAATGGTATGACGAAAACAAGCATCACATAGCAAGCAGTTGTACATATCAAGCTTTGTTATTTATCAAAAGTAGCATCGTGTAGTTGTAGACGGTAAAAGGTTGCTGAGGAGAATTCCACCATGTAAGCAGCGTCATTCGAAGCTAGTAATTGTATACGAAATCACAGTTCGAAAAAAAAGATTCTCTGTACTGCCCTGTTTAATCTTTTTGATAAGAAAATTCAATCAATTGTGATTCTTCACGTGCCAATTGATTAGTTAATAAGAGGCATTATGACAACAGGGTCATAAAAAAGCGACACGTGTAAAGCTGATATTTGGCTAACGGGGAGTTGTCTGCAAAATAGAAAGATTTTGTGGCAATCGATAGGTATAGCATATTCAGACACGCTTACAAGGTCGTCATTTTTTTCAGAAAACGAAATAAAATCCATTTCTTTCCCTTATTTCAGCTTCTTGCCAGTGAGAAAATTTTTATGCTCAACAAGAATGACTTTTCGAAGAAAAATGTAATCTTGCATTTTGAAAATTCCAATTTTAGCGCTATTAGAGCATGAAAATCTTGAAATTCAAATGCACAGTCTTTTTTTTTCCGAGTTCGTAATTTTTATGTACAATACAGTTGACAACATATCGTGTACTTCCGGGCACGTTCTCAGGCATCCTTGTTGAAAAATAACACGGAGAGAACTGAAATAAAAGGATCTCTGAGATCATCTCAACTGAGTGGATCATCTTACTGTATACCTAAAACTGAGATAGACCACACTGCTGCATTCGTTGAGGATCCATTAGCTTCTACGTTTAGTTCTGCTTCACAGTACTAGAATAACCATGTTAAGAAAAAACTTTGTTCTGTTTAAGAAATCAAATAACCTTTTCGATCTAACTGAGATGCAGCACAGATGAAGCAACTTCTGCTTCTAACACTCGCATTTCTAATCATTAGTTAAAATTATGTTTTATAAATATCATATGGAATGGGTTCTCACCTGCGCCATTGGCTTATCTGGCTTGAATTTTATGGCTAATTTTCTGAACACGTCCAGGTCACAGAAATCTCCACCACTACAGCCTTCAATTTCTTTGGTCACGCTATAGATGCCAGAATTTTCATCTGAGCGGTACATCACCTTGAAAAACGCTTCAAAAATGCTTTACCAAACTAGTAAATCTAGAGTTAACTAACTTTAAAGTATGGTTTATTTTCGGTCTCATCGAGCCATAATTCGACGAATGCTGCTGCAGCATATTCAGGAAGGAGACCTGGCACAACCACCTTCCTTCCGATCCCTAGTAGAGTCAAAAATTGGTATATCGTGGAATCGTGCTGGAAAGAGTTTTGAGAGTAAGCAAAAATGTTTAGCACTGCTATAGTGATGGAGTTAAAACTCACTGTTGGTCGAAAACAACCATTTTTTTCACTTTGTGGTAGTATGCATTCAAACATCCCCTACTTAATCGCATCCTATACTTCTTGGCCTATTATTGTACATTTACTATTCTTACTAGATAAAGTCTTGCAAATTTTGCATCACTGCAGTTCCAAGTTCATGACTTGCGTGGCACTAATTGTTGGCAAACAACTTTAAGTTTGTTGATGAAGTACAACAAAAGCTTCTTTGCTTGACTTAAGTCTTCTTCTGAGAAAAAATTAAGTGCTAAACCTACCACTGAATATGCGTAGTACTTCAAT